ATTGTTATGGCGGGGGTTAGTGATAACCGCACCATAACAGAAGGAATTCTTATGGCGGGTGTTAGTGATGACCGCACCATAACAGAAGGACTTGTTATGGCGGGGGTCAGTATGTGGGTGTTAAAGGATATACACCAGTTGATAAAGCTATGCAATTAGTCAAGTCTGAATTGTAAATTATGATTAAAATGAAAATGTTATTTGTGAAATGTTATTAAGAAATCAATTTGTTTATTTTGTCTAAATGCCTCAAAACTTATGTGTAGAAAATGTAATGAAATGTTTGTTGATAATGAAATGTAATGAGAACTGAAATTTGAGAATACTGTGATTTTAAGGTAACACACGAGGACGTGTGAGTCGTCAGGAAGGCCGTGTCGGATCGTATGAAACGGGGCCTACTTTGTTCTCTTGGTCAGAACAGGTGAAGCGGGGCCTTCTTTAATGTGAAGCAGGGACAATTAAAAAAGGAAGTTAGAAATCCCTTGTGTGGAAGCATGGCAGAGCAGGACAGATTTAGACTGCTGCCAAGTGAGGTGTGTTCGTTAAGCGCTGACATACATGTTAGAAAGAGATGGCTAACAATGTATAAGAATTGAGTAGAAAGTATAAATTTGGAAAGTAGACTCTTGGGAGTCAGTTCAGAATGCGCCTGGCAATCGAACGGAACTTGCTGCTGAGGATTTAAGTTAAAGTGATGGAAAAGACAAACGACCCTCCGACATATATATAAATTGATTTGTGCAAAAATATCACAATTGTTACACAAACTTGTACATAAGGCGGTATATAGACCAGTAGCGGACCGATTTTCGTTATTTCCCTTTGCGCTCATCTTCCCGCTGAAGCCGAATTTTGCCCGCCGAGTTGCAGCTGAATTGTGCGTTTGCCTGACATAAACAATATAAATTTATATACATATGTACATATATTAATTGATTAGTGCAAATAAACAAATTCTTACAAAAACTCGTACATAAGGCGATATATAGACCAGTATCGGATCACTTTTCGCTATTCCCCTTTTTTCATCTTCCCGCTGAAGCCGAATTTGCCCGCCGAAACTGCTGCATTTATTGTTGTTGTTGTTGCTGCTTAATATGTCTCTAGAAAACTCGGTAAGCGTCACCGACAATGGCAATTCAAACAGGGTGACTTTTCTGAAGCGCAAGGCAACTTCAATGTTTAATAGAGTGGAGCGGTTAATGGAATCTCTTTTAAGTTCGGCTTTGAATTCTTTTGACGATTCTGGCCTTCATGTGAGGTTGGAACTTATCGAGGAACTTCAAACGGCAGGGTTCTCAACGAGCTCGAAGAATTGGATTTTGAGGAAATTGGAAATGACTTGGAGGAGAAATTTGATGATGTCGTCGTAATTCTGAAGACAACGGTTCGATCGGAGATCACGAAGCGCTCCTTGGCATTACTTCAGCATTCAACCTTTGCTGATGGTAATGCGCCCGGTCTTTCCGGCCATCAGCAGCGACAAACTCGCCGAGCGATTCCACTTCCCGCTCTTGAACTTCCGAAATTCGCGGGAGGTTATGCGAATTGGGCAGATTTTTATTCCATGTTTACATCCATCATAGACAGTCATCCTGACCTGACCAACATTCTATGTTGCTGCAGCATCTACGTTCATGCATGACGGATTCTGTGTTGGAAACCATCCGCTCGCTGGAAATTTCGGATGGCAATTATTCTGTTACTGTGGACTTATTGAAAAACCGATCTGATAATCCTCGTTTGGTTTTTCAGGCACACATTACTGAGATCCTGGGGCTTAAGGCAGTGCAGAGTGGTTCCGTCTCGATGCTACGTGATCTGTCAGATAAATTCAACGCTCATATTCGTGCTCTAAAGGGATTGGGCACGACTGAACAATTCGCAGGATGCATCATCGTCCAAATACTGCTGCAAAAGCTAGATCCTGCGAGCCAGGCCAAATGGGAAGAGCGGTTAGAGGATCCAGCATTCGTCAATCTAATTCCGACGTGGGAATCCATGGCATAATTTTTGGAGCAGCGATGCAGGTCGCCATGGCAAGCTATGCGTCTGGCAATCAGGTGGGAAATAATAGAACGTCTAATTCCCGTAGATCCGCTTTTGTTGCCACGAATATTAACCCATGGATTTGTTCGTACTGTAATGCTTCTGGTCACTCTATTCACTACTGCCATGATTTTAAAGCCCTGCCCCATGCTAATCGGCTTCAAGAAGTAAAGAGACTCGCTCTTTGCATAAACTGTCTTGAGTTAGGGCATCAGTTGAAGCTGTGCAATTCCAGGAATTGTCGTGCATGCGGAGCTAAACACCACACCCTCCTTCACTTGGGAAATTTATCCTCAGCTTCTCCTCAGGCAGGACCACAGCTTCCAGAAGCTCTTGCCGCTGTCGCACCCAATACTGTCGTTGAACCATCTGCCGTGCCTTCCTCATCCACTGCTCTTATTGCTCAGGATTTCAGTACTGACAATGTACTCCTTGCCACTGCCACCGTTCTCATAAAAAATCGAACTGGAGTTTTCGTTCCATGTCGAGCCCTTCTTGACTCCGGCTCTCAGCTGCATCTAATAACATCTCGCTTCGCAGATCAGCTTCAAACAAAGAAGATAAAGACTTTAACTTCTGTTACTGGAATAGGTGACTCCAGCTTTGTTACAAATGGTCACTCAGTTAACATTACGATGCAGTCCCGAACGTCTGAGTACACGGTGAACATAACCGCAGTTATTGCTCCCAATATAACTGAGCGACAGCCTAGTTTCAATGTGGACATCGGCAGCTGGAAAATACCGCAGAACATACAATTAGCTGACCCTACGTTTTATGTCCCTTAGCGTGTGGATCTTTTGATTGGAGCCAGTTTGTTTTACGAGCTGTTGTGCGTTGGGCAAATTAAGCTCCCACCTGGCTTACCGCTTATACAAAAAACTCGCCTGGGATGGGTTGTTTCCGGAGGATATGGCGTCTCCAATGGCTCATCGTTAATCTCGACCATTCCTTTACCTATCGTTAGTAAGGATAATAGCTTAGATCGACTTGATGATCTTCTTCGTCGATTTTGGGAGGTGGAAAGCTGCGTGGAGCCAATTGCACATGCTACTAAGGAAGAACTGGACTGTGAGGCACACTTTAAAAAGCATTTCATTCGTTCGTCTGCTGGAGACTATTCTGTTCGTTTGCCTGCCAAGCTCAACCTGGAATTATTGGGTGAGTCCTACCAGCAAGCTTATCGTAGATTCCTGTCCCTAGAGAGGAAGCTAGATCGTCGGCCAGCCTTGAAGGCCCAATATGCGGCTTTTATAAAAGACTTTTTTATAAAAGAATGCTTTGACTTGGGGCACATGTCAACAGTTGCTGGCGCAGACCTCGCTTCTTGTCGCTTCTTTTTTCCTCATCATTGCGTCACAAAGGAGGATAGTTTTTGACGGATCTGCCGCTACTTCATCAGGCTACTCTCTTAATGATTTGCTCATGGCAGGCCCCGTAGTTCAACATACCATTTGCCAAATTTTCATTCGATTTAATTCGATCGTCAAGAGTCGAGCATTCTTCGTTTCCGCTTGGGGCTGAGGTCATTCAGATTTACGTAGATGATCTGATATCTGGAGCCCAGACCGTGGACGAGGCTATCATCATTGTAGATCAGACCTCTAAAATTCTGTCCAGAGGAGGCTTTAAACTTAGAAAGTGGTGCTCAAACGTGCTAGCGGCTTTGTGTGAAGTGCCTGACGAAGATAAGGAGTCATACTTGAAGTTTGATGACGGCACTGACTTTACCAAAACTCCTGCTTCTGATCAGCTATTGTTCTCTTTTTCTTGCAGTTAACCTCAAGTCCCTGTAGGCGTTCTGTCTTGTCTGCCATTGCACGATTTTATGATCCTCTTGGATTGGTTGGGCCGGTGATAGCAAAAACGAAAATTTTCCTTCAGCAATTGTGCAAGGAAAGGTTATCCTGGGATGAAAGCCTTCCTGAAGCTCAGAATACGGAATGGAGTTCGATATGCAGGAGTTTTGTGCAAATCAAGCGTTTGTGTTTCCCTCGGCTAGTGCTGTCTCCAAACTCAGAGATTCAGGTCCATGGATTTTGTGATGCCAGCATGGAAGCATACGGCGCCTGTGTCTACATCGTGTGCAGTGGAAAGTCACGGTTGCTTTGTTCAAAGTCAAGGGTCGCTCCCTTGAAGACACTCACCGTGTCCAAGCTGGAGCTTTGTGGAGCCGATCTCTTGTCTAAGCTCATCTCAGAAGTAGCTGGCACCAACATATTACAGGGACAGTATTATTGTTGGAGTGACTCTGCGGTTGCGCTGTCCTGGATCCGAGACGAGCCCGCCAGATTCAACATGTTTGTGGCAAACCGAGTTTCTGCCATCCAAGAGCGAACCGATTTGATGGAGTGGCGTTACGTTCCAACTTGTTTGAATCCGGCTGACATTCTCTCCCGAGGTGTCCTTCCCACTGAGCTGAGCGAGTCCCCTATATGGTTTAACGGGCCGATATTTCTTTGCAGACCCAAGATTGACTGGCCTCCCCCAATCCTTGCTGAGAAGTCAACACTTGAGCTTCGTCGAAAGGTCCTGTTAATTAAATCGCCATACGTAGACATCATAGCCTGTTCCAAATTTGCAAACTCCTTCGCTTCGCTTCAAAGGGTTTTCGGATACGTCTGCAAATTTATCAATCGCATTCGGCAGCCGGATCTTAAGGTTTCGGATATCCAAAGCGGTACTCAATTATTGCTTCGTCTGGTTCAGCGTTCTCATTTATGGGAAGACATTAAATCCTTGCAGTCTAAAGGAGTGGTAGCCCAATCTAGTTCGCTTGCATCTCTATCTCCCTTTATTGATCAGTTTGGGCTTCTTAGAGTGGATGGCCGACTAAGGAACTCGTCGCTGGATTTCAATGCCCGTCATCCAATCATATTGCCACGGAGCCATCCTGTCACTGCCGCCATCATTACTCACTTTCGAAGCCTCGATTAGTGGAGCATGTAATGGCGGATCTCCCAAAGGAGCGATTGGATGGATCTCATGCATTTGAAGTCACTGGTATTGACTTTTGTGGACCATTCTTTTACAAGCCGGAAGTGCGAAACAAGGCCCCAGTAAAATGCTACGTTTGCGTCTTTATCTGCTTCGCAACAAAGGCCATTCACTTGGAGTTGATCAGGGATCTCTCAACGGTATCATTTCTGCATGGCCTCAAGAGATTTATATGCACCAGAAGGAGACCGGGGCAGATTTGGTCGGACAATGCAACGAACTTTGTGGGTGCACGCAATGAGCTGCTTGAGTTGAGACGCCTGTTCCTCAGCGACGAGCATCAGAAAGCGACGTTGGATTTTTGCCTAGCGGAGCTCATTGATTGGTGCTTTATTCCTCCCAGATCGCCACATTTTGGCGGTCTCTGGGAAGCTGCGGTGAAGACGGCGAAGTACCATTTCTACCACGCTATTGGGCCTTCAGTGTTGACCTTCGACGAGCTGCGGACTCTTCTGTGCCATATTTCGGCAGTAGTTAACTCTCGGCCTTTAGTCTCAATTTCAGAAAATCCCGCTGATCTGAAGGTGCTAACGCCAGCCCACTTTCTGAATGGTGACCCACCATCCTCATTCATCGAGCCGGATGTGACCGCCCTTAACTTCAATCGGTTGGATGGATGGCAACGTGTGGCCTATTTGCAGCAAGTCTTCTGGACCCGATGGAAGGAAGAATATCTGACGCTACTGCAGCAGCGCTCCAAATGGCGTACCCCGAAGCCTGGCCTAGTTCTCGGTGACGTGGTGCTGGTCAAGGATGAGAACTTGCCTCCGATGAAGTGGCCCCTAGCGAGAGTCGTTGAGCTTCTGTGTGGTGGAGATGGAGTTGCTCGAGTTGCTGTCCTCAAGACAACATCTAGAGTGACAAAACGAGCAGTTAATAAGCTCTGTCTGCTGCCCCTTAAGGATGCTGTTGAAAGCCAGGCTTCCAAAGGGGGAGTATGCCGGGTCATCCAGCCGCTTATCTGCTTATTTAGGATCTCTTAATGCTAGCTCTTAGCTTATCTGCATAATTACCATCGCTGTCTCTCTCTCTTTATCTTTCTATTCGCTCTTATTCGTTGCTTGTTGGTTTATACTTTGGGTCAGCAATCGGCTGATCCGCGTCTTAATTCAATTCTAACTCTTCCTTTCGATCTCGTGAGCCATTTTGTGAATCGCTTCTGCTAAATAAATTCGCTGCCTTTTAATTTTCGTGCTTTTATTTAAATAGGTAATAAAAAAGCTTATTAGCACAACAATTATTTTCAACATTTAATCATCATTTAGCGGCCCATAAATTGGCAAAATTCGTTCTTGTGTGTGTTGAATAAATTTATAAAAATCACCCAAAAATAGTCAGACATATATCATACATATTTGGTTCATAGACAACGTTACTAGATTATCGGCGTCACATTTTGCATTTTGCTTCGCTGTATGATCGGCGTAGTAGCAAACGGCTACATACACGCATATATACGTCACTTCGCTGGACCGCTGGAAGCGCAGCTGCAGTGACAAGCTAAATATAGGCGTCTCTCTCTCTATCTCTCTCTCTCTCTCTCTCTCTCTCTCTCTCTCTCTCTCTCTCTCTCTCTCTCTCTCTCTCTCTCTCTCTCTCTCTGTCTCTCTCTCTCTCTCTACATAGATGATCGGCCGTCGGCAAACGGCTACAGCCACTTACACATACGTCACTTCGCTGAACCGCTGGAAGCGCAGCGGCAAAGACTTTGCTTTTGCTTTTGCCTTTGTCGATTTACGCTGCCTGGCTGACGACGACAACAACAACGTTAAACGCTAACGATTGCTACAGTGTGTGCTCGCGGAGAAAGGGTAAGTGTTTTGTTATTTGCATGTTTCGTATGTTGGTCATAGATTGAGTGCAATTATTTTGAGTCAAATGGAGAAAAAAGAGAATGATAGTGAATTAGAAACCTCATTGGAGAGAGCGGGTTACGAAGATCTCTTTAAGTCGATATTCGATATTCGATTAACACAGCTACATACGAATTTTAAAAAAGATAGTGCACCTCGGAAAACCAAAGCTTGTTTTAAACTATGTCGGGATGAATTGGAAGAACATTCTAGACAATTTAATAAAAATCACCAATTGATTATAGTTTTCAAATGTCCGCGTACGCATGCGAATTTTTAAAATATAACTGAATATAAATTTAACCAACTTATACCACTATTTTTTGGATGGTTTTGGATGCCTACAATGCCCTGCTAACAACAACAAATAATGATACAGCAGTAAGACCTCCGAGCCATAATTCTACGGTGGTTTCTACAACAGTATCAAAGTGTCACGACTTTTTCTGGCACACATACAGATTGGCCAGCATTTTTGATGGATTTTCACAACTTATAAACGAGAATGCGGCAATTCTAGTATCCAAAATATTCATTTTCTGAAGCAAGCTTTGCCAGGTGATCGGGATTAGGATGTCCAGCAAATGGATATGACGAAATAAAACTATACAGTGGCCTGGAATCTCATCGTTAAAAGGATTAATAACCTAAGGTTATTATTCGTGCACCAAATGAATGCCCTATACGTCTTTCCTGTTATCGTACAGGAATGTTTAGCGGATTTCAAGCACACACTCAACGTCACCAACATGTGTATAAATGAATTTAAGCGTCTCAAAATAGCGATCTCAACTTGTGACCATTTATTTTGGCCACAACCGTAATTTTAAAGCTAGAAAGTTGAAACTTGGAGAATTTGCTGCTTTGCTGCTGTTCAAAAAGTACCGCGAATTTTGAATTTTCGAGGGTTAGCTCGTATCGAATTTCGATTTTTTTTGTGGCGTTATGTTGGTAATCTTGTCTCTCACTTATGCCGACAAGCTCGGCCATTTTGAATGTTCACTTAATTGTTGACAGCTGCTTTGCTTGCACGTGTTTTAGATCGTCTTCGATTTTTACCTATTCAAAAAAATGGATCAAAGAACCTGTATCATATTTTGTGTGAAAAACGAAATTAAGTGCGTGGATGCATTCCGAATGTTGACTGTGGCATACGGAGAAGCTAACTTGGACCGAAGCTACGTTTATCGGTGGTACAAAATATTCTCAGAAGGACGAGAAGATGTGAACGACGAAGAGCGTGCCGGACGCCCGAGCACTTCAACAACAGACAAAAAATTAATGAAGTGGAGAAAATGGTATTGGCGACGATTGATCACCGTTAGAAAAGTTTCTGAGGACCTTAACATATCGATTGGCTCGTGGCATTCAATTTTTATCAATGATTTGGGCATGAGACGGGTCGCCGCGAAATTCGTACCAAAGTTGCTCAATAACAATAACAGCATCGCATGAACATTGCTAATGAGATGTTAAACTCTGTCCGCGACGACCCAAATTTGCTCCAGAGGGTCATAACTGGTGACGAATCGTGGGTTTATGGTTACGACGTGGAAACCAAAGCTCAATCATCTCAATGGAAGCTGCTGTCAATAAGGAATATTACCTGCAAGTTATGCGCAATTTGCGCGAAGCAATCCGCCAGAAACGCCATGATTTGTGGAAGAACAAAAATTGGCTTTTGCACCACGATAACGCCCCTGCTCACACATCATTGCTTGTGCGCGAATTTTTGGCCAAAAACAACACACTAATGATGCCGCAGCCACCGTATTCCCCAGATCTGGCCCCCTGTGACTTTTTCTTGTTTCCTAAACTGAAGAGGCCCATGAAAGGACGACGTTACACTACGAATGACGAGATAAAGACGGCATCGAAGGAAGAGCTGAACAAGATAAAAGAAATGATTTTTTGAAGTGCTTCGAAGATTGGAAAAACCGTTGGCACAAGTGCATAATATCTCATGGGTATTACTTTGAAGGGGACATGAATAAATAAATAATTTTTGAGAAACACAAAATTTGCGATACTTTTTGAACACACCTCGCTCGAACCTATAAAGCTACACAAATACAATTCACCGTGGGATCTCCCCAACCTCATAGATACAACATTTAGAGCACACAAGAAATAAAACACAGCACCAGATATACAGGAAACTATTCGAACGCAGCAAAAACAACCATAAAGTACACAAATTCATATTTAAATTAACTTCACTATTTCTTACGCAGTCGCAACAGAAACTGTTGTTATTAAATATGGTATACTACCCCATACTCATCAGTACTTCCGCTGAAATAATAGCCATCCAACAGCGATCGACCAGGTCAAAAACACAAGGGGAAAGTTTATGATCTGCTCTGACTCTCTCTCAGCAATTGACACCATAACAAACTCCAACAACAATAACTTTAATTCCAACAAAATCAGATCATTTATTACAAAACTAGCTCCAAAAATCAAATTATTTTGGATCCCTGGTCATGTAGGCTTAGCAGGCAACGAGCTAGCCGACCATACTGCAAAATCCACTAGCAATATGCCCCTTATCTACACCCCAAACAGACATCTAAAACAAGAATTCCTATCAAGAAATAGACAAAATATAGAACACTGCAATCAATGGTACAAAACTATGAACAAATACTTTTCAAAAATCGACAACTACTTCAGATCGTTCTATCCCAAATCGAAGAGACTCCATCAAATAAAAATAATATGCCTTAGGCTAGGCCACACAAAACTTACACATGAACACTACCTTAATCAAAATCAAACTTCGCTTTGTCCCTTCTGCCAAGACGACAATACCATACCCCACCTACTTAACCCATGCCCATCACTTCTACCCACTAAACTATCCATTTTCAAAAACACAAACCCAATAAACCTTCTCAACGACCTCAACCCAGATAATTTAGTATTGGAAATGTGAGTGCTTTGTTTTAGAGTTCTTGGAATACATAAAAGAAACACCTCCACTCGTTTTAAAATTATTAAGAGAATCAAACTTAGAACTTATCGATCTACAGTTTCTCGCAGACAACAATCGCAATCAGCTGACAAACGGCGTTGCCCTACTATTCTATATTTCTAACACTCCTTCTCAACGCTGTCATTTACAAGATAATTATTTACAGCAAACCCATCATATTAATACATTTCATGTGCTTAAGCTTACTTAAATTCTTCGTTAACACATCTGCCATCATGTTTTCTGTTGATACATACTTCAAATCTATAATCTTTTCCTTAAATATATCTCTTACATGATGATATCTAATATCTATATGTTTGCTGCGCGCATGATATACAGGATTTTTTACTAGGCACTGCGCGCTTTGATTATCGCTATGTAATATAATCGGTGGGACTTCACCAAGACCTATCTCACTCCAAAGCTTACGAATATACACTGCTTCCCTTGCAGCTGAAGATAGCGCTATATACTCGGCTTCTGTTGTACTGAGAGCTACCACGGGTTGCTTTTTAGACTCCCAGTTGATCGCCGCTCCTGCTACCAAAAATGTCCAGCCAGTGAATGATTTCCTGTCGCTGTCGTCTCCAGCCCAGTCGGCGTCCACGTAACAATAGACAGCCTGTCCAGTTCGCTGATAGTTTAGCTGGAATGTCTTAGTACCCTGCAAGTACCTCAGGATTCGCTTGGCACACACCATGTGCTCCTGATGTGGATCCGAGTTCCGTTGGGCAAGCTTTGCCACAGAATGGAGTATATCTGGCCTTGTTGTTATAGCCAAATACATAAGTGAGCCTATCAGGGACTGGTATTCAACCTGATTTTCTCTCGGGCACTCCTTCTTGCTGCATTGAGCCTGATAGCCAGCTTCGGGAGGAAGGTTGGATGCCTTACAGTTTTGCATCCCGTAATCTTCCAATAGAGCCTCTATGTACTGCTTATGGCCCAGTCGAACGCTGCCAACTTCGCCATCGCGATCAATTTCCATTCCCAGGAAATGTTTCAGGATACCGGCATCTACATCATCGTACCTCTCTGATATAAGGTACTTGATCTATCGCTCGCCACTATGATGTCATCTACGTAGACTATGATGAAGCTCATTTGGTCACCCTGACCCCGTTTGTAAATGCAGGGTTCACTCGGACTTACTGAGAACCCTAACTTCAGGATGACATCGTTTAGACATCGCTATCGGCCACTTTATTTTAGACCGTAAAGCGATTTGTGCAGCCTAAGAACCTTTTCTGGATGCTCTTCGTCAGTGAATCCCTCAGGTTACCTCATATATACCACGTCATGGAGTTCACTGTTGAGGTAAACAGAAGAAACATCAAGCTGGTGCATATACATACCACGTTCGACCGCTACAGCAATAATTAGCCTTATTGATGAATATCTGGCCACCGCCGAAAACGTCTCAGAGTAGTTGATGCCATACTTTTGTCCACAGCCCTTTGCGACAAGCCGTGACTTCAGACGTTCCACATTGCCATATTTATCTCGCTTGACCGCGTAGACCCATTTGCATCCAATGGCCTTCTCTCCCTCAGGTAGCTCGACGAGTGTCCAAGTTTTCCTTTCTTGCAAACTACTAATTTCCTGTTGCATAGCCTTCTTCCAGTTCTCTGCATATTTGGAGCTTAATGCATCGTTTTAGCTTGCTGGAACCTCAACATCACTTTTGGTTATGACATTGACAGTTTGGTACTCCTTCCTAGGTCTCCCACGCCAGGCCAGTACGAACAAGTTTTGGTCTTCCAGGACCCCGCCTTTCGCTCAGCAACACTTCAGCTTCTGGCAGCACGTCATCATCAGGAAACACCTCGGTTCCTGCTAGCACATTGTCATCTGGAAACACTTCCGCTTCTGGTAGTTCTTCTTCTTTGCCTTCGTTGCTGAAATATGTATCGGACTCATTTTCGTCATAAGCTGCTTCAATTTGTGGAGCGAAATAAATTTCATTTTATACAAACGGTAAGCAGCAGCCGTATTTGAGTATCCTACAAAAACATACTCAATTCCTTTTGGTTGGAATTTACGAAAATGTTTCTTGTTCAAGCCAATCGCTTTAACTCCGAATGTCTTGAGATGAGATACACTCGGTTTCCGTCCGAACCAAGCTTCAAACGGCGTCATGTTCATCAGTGATGATGACTCCGATCTGTTCCGTAAGTATGCTGCTGCAGCTACAGCTTCCGCCCAAAATTCTTCGTCCAAATTAGCATACTGCAACATGCTCCGAGCCATCTCAACCAGTGTCCTGTTGGCTCTTTCCGCCACACCGTTTTGTTGAGGTGTATACGGTACAGTAAGCTCTCTTTTTATTCCATTGCTTACCAGGAACTGTGTAAACTCACCACTTAAGTATTCTCGTCCGTTATCACTGCGCAGGATTTTAAGCTTCTCTCCGGTTTGTTTCTCCACCAGGGCTTTAAACTCCGTGAATTTGTCGAAAACTTCATCACGCGTCTTCAGGAAGCAAATATGCATATAACGCGATTTATCGTCTATAAATGTCACGAAATACCGAGATCCACCGTTTGATCTTTTGCTCATCGGTCCACAAATATCTGTATGAACACGTTGCAAAATATTGTACGCTCGATTTTCTGCATCTTTCGGAAACGGCTTTACATTTATTTTACATTTAGCACACGTTTCGCATACATGATCTCGCATGTCGCACTGATTTGCCACACACCATGTTATTTTTACTCATTTTGTTTAGGCTTCC